GGGATACTGCGGCCCCGTAGCCGCCTCACCCCTCCTCAAACTTCCTGACATTTGAACTCATTGGTGCGCCTCGTATCCCTGCGCCGGGATGAGCCGGCGGCTCCACGTCAAATAGTGCCGCCGCCGCCCCCCCCTCCGCGGAAGGGCTCCCCGCGCCCCCAGCCAGCGCCCCCAGCCACGCCTGGCCCCGAGAGTGGACCCCAGTGCCCCAGCCGGGCCGACCGCCTTGCTGGCCCGTCGCAGAAGTTTAAGTCGCCTTCGACACAGATCCCTCTGCCCCACCCCCTTGAAAAATTGATTTGGGAGTTGGGGAATGAAGGCTTTCTCTTTTTTCTTTCTTCCCTTCTTTATTATTAATATTTTGTAAAGCTCCAGCGGTAAGAGGAGTGGCCCCGAGCGAGGCCAGACTGCGCGGACGGCGGGGAGCGCAGCGGCTCCACCAGGAGACGGCGCCGGCCAGGAGTAACGGCCTGGGGACCCCGACCGTCTGCCGAGGTAGGTTGCTGGTGCTGAGTTAGTGTCCCCCGGGCGGCGGCGCCTGCCTAGGGCGACTTGGTCCTCGGAGAGGGCTGGCTCCCGGGGTTGAGGGCCAGGAACGGGCAAAAGGTGAAGACAGCTGGCTTACCAAAGGGGGCCCTGGCCCAGGAAAGAGAACGAGCCTGGGGCTTGGTGAGAGATCCTGGAAAGCTGAGAGCCTGGCAGAGATTGGGCAGAAGAGTGAGCTGAAGGAGGCTGGGGCCTTGAGATCGAGAATGGGGGACATTGGGCGGACGAGGAAGGTCAGGCCTAGGTCCAGGCGATGGAGAGTTTAGAGGATGAGTAGGGCTGGGAAGAGGGTCCCTGGGCAGGGACGGAGGTAATGGACAAGGGTTGGGCCTTACAGGGTTTGCAGAGAGGGGCGCTGGTAGGGGATGGTGGCCTCAGGGTCGGGGAGCTTAAGTCCCGGGTCGACGAGTGTCAGCCGCTCGAAAGACATCGGATTGGCCGCTGGGATAAGGCGCCCTTTGGCGGCCGAGGTACCCGGTCGGGAGTCGGTAGGCCGCGCCCCACAGTAACAGTGCCCTGGCTAAACTGGGCAAAGTGGGCCTCGGCACCCGGAGAGAAAAGTCGGCGAGGATGAGCTGCCGACGCTGGGCCTGGCACCAGTGCCCGATGTGAGAGGCCACTGCGTCGGGCTGTAGGGCACGAGCCCAGGCCGGCTGTGTCTGCAGCCCCTGGATCCCCACCGACTCGCGGCTAGCGGAGGAGCAGGGGGGCGGCGGCCCCGGGCCGGAGCGGGCTGACCCGGCGAGCCTCTGTGGGGCGGCCCCGACCCCTCCAGGAGCTGAGCAGCGGCGCGGAGCCGGGCGGGGGCGGAGGGCATGGGGGGCGGGTCCCCTGACCCCGCTGGAGGCGAGAGGGCGGATCGGATTTGGAACCTGCGGGAGGCTTGGTCAGAAGTGGCCCCCTGTGTCGCGGGGCCCCGCGGAGGGGCCCGGCTTTGTGGAGGATTAGAGGCTCCCGCCCCACCCCAGTACCTGCGAGTGTGTCGGTGGGTATCAGCGTGTGACTGTGACTGCTCTCCCGCCTCTGAGGCTCTTGTGAACGTGTTCGCCAGTGTCTCTGTGCACACACATTTTTGTGACCCTGCGACAGTCTGGGCTCCGAGTGTGTGAATCTACGCCTGGTTCCTCTGCATCCTAGTGCGGGTGTGTGAATCTGCGGATCCTTCCATGCTTCCGTATCTGGTGTTTTTGTCTGTTTCTCTGTGTGTCCTTGTGAGTCTGTGTGTCTTGTGTCACTCTGTGCGGGTGAATAGTCTTTATATGTCTCAGCTTTGTATGGTGTGTTGGGATCCTTTGATGAATATGTGTATCTTGTGTCACCTTCGTGTGTCTGTGCCTCGCTCCAAGTTTTGAATGATTCTGTGTGCTCGCTTGTCTCCCAGAGTTGTGTATGTCTTTGTGTCTCAGTGTATTTCCCAGCGCCTTCGTGTGTTTGGCTGCGGGGTGGGGAGATGAATAAATGTGCAATTTGCTCACACAACCTTGATCCCCCTTCTTTGCTCAGTCTGGAAACCCCAGGCTTTGACCCCTAAAGTTGGACAGGGGCGGCTTTCTCTGGGCATGTGGGGCGGGGCGCGGCTGCCGCCAGGAGAAGCGGGGCGAGCAAGGCTCCGGAGCGCAGAGCCGGAGGCGCTGAACCCGGCGCGGGGTCGGCGGGCGGACCGGGCGCATCCTGCCCTCTGCTGGCCGCGGTGTGTCCCTGCAACCGCTGTTGGGCGACTGCCTGTGGGCGAGAGTCCCGGTTCCAGGCCCAGACCTCGCTCTCCATCAGGGGGCTCACGGGATCCTCCTCCTTCACGGGCCCTGCAGACACATCCCAGACCCCCAAATCCAGCTGCAGCGCACCCCCATTTCCAGTTCCCCAACTTACCTGTGCCTGGTCTCTTCTACTCCATTGCACCTTCGGCTGAGTGGGGCCCCTACGGCCCAGCCTCTGAGGCTTCCCTGACCCTCCGGCTGGCTTCCAGGGCCAAGTCTTTGCTGGTTGTGCCCAAAGGCATGTTTCCTGGGGCTGCTGGAAGGCCAGATCTCAGCGCAGAAGGATGTGCAGCCTCCCCCCAGTGCCACCCTTGTGGGTGTAGCTGCTGGTCTGTCCTGGGACACGCAGATTCTTGGCACCTCTCCCTGTGTTTGTGCCAAAAGTGGGCATGGGGCAGTCCTCTGAGGTGCTGGCCCTGCAGTCTTCTCTGGTTTGAGGTGGGGCGGCTCAGTCCACACACTTTTGTCTTCCCTTCCTGTCTTCCCCACTCACTGCCCCTTCATCCCCTGCACACACATGCGGGCACGCTCGCACTCCCTAAGCCCTGTTTCTGGCCCTCTGTTCCCACTGCTCCAGCCTCCTTTCCCCGTTTGTGTTGGCCAGTCCCAGGTCCTTGCACACAGACCCGAGGCCATCGGGACTCCTGTCCCTCTGGAACACTTCCCTTGCTGAAGAAGTAGCCGAGTGATGGGCCTGGCCCAGCGCCTACTTCTGTCTGAGGGCAGTCAGGGGGACTTTGCTTCCCGGGACCAGCAGGGCGCCATGTGGTACTGGCAGAGTTCCTGGGTGTCTCAGGCCACTCCATGGCACACTGGCAGGTCCCAGATGGATGCTCTCTGGCTTGGATTTCAGTGGCAGAAACAGCTTTGGATTTTCTCTACCTGAGGAAGGACTGAGGTGTCGGCTTGGAATGGCTTGGAAGAAACAAGAATAGGAAGCTCCAGAGCAGGAGTCTCTGCTCCTCCCAATCCTGCTGAAGCCCCATCTCCAACTGAGCCCTGCCCCTTGCTCTCCTTAGGGCCTTGCACTCCCTCCCCTCCCCTGCCCCTGCCCCTGCCCCTGCCAGGAAGGGTAGCCCTGTGAGCTGCCCTCCCTGTTGCATGGAGCCCTGTCCATCTTCTGGGGTGGGGAATAGTGTTGGGGGTGTCCTGTTTTGGGTTTCTGACCAGAGCAGGAGCCTCAGGGGCTCCTTCCAGTTTATAGACCCAGCAGGAGGCAAGGACCAGGGCAGGGGATAGAGCACAGGGCACAGCTCCATCCGGTACAGGGGAAGCGGAAGGGCCTGCAAGGAGCTGCAGGATGCCCTGAGAGCCAGGGCTGCCAGTGTCCAGACCCATCCTGTGCTGCCCCAGCCAGCCTCAGATTCAAGGCTGCCAGACTGGGCCAGAGCCACCCCAAGCTGTGGGCCGGGTTGGGGGCTGCTATTCCTGGGAGGTGACCTGGGGTCAGGGGTCCTGGGAGAACCACACAGACTCCGGAAGTGGAGTGGGGACACCCAGAGATGGAGTGCTGGGAACTTTCCAGCCAGCAGTGACCATGCTCCCTCCCTTGGACCCCAGCCAAGCTTGACCACAGGGCACTTGGGCTCAAGGGTCAGACACTTTCTCAGCTAGCAGAGATGGATGCATGTGATAATCACAGAGTAACCCGGTCACCTTGTCGCAGCTGGGTGAAAGTGCCTGCAGTCCTCCTGTGCGGGTCAGAGGCCTCACCGCTGCCCTCAGCCCTAGTGAGGCCCACAGAGAGGAGTGACTAGGGCTTGAGCCTGGCTGAGATCCTTCTCATACAGGGCTAGGAGCTGGGGTTTTCTAGAATGATGGGAGAGGGGCAACAGGGAGACAGGATTTTAGGCGGCATTTGCTGGTGAGGCAGCCTATGGGCTCTAAGGCTGTTTACTGGTGTGCAATGTGGAAGACACCAAGGCCCAACAAAGTCCCTGCCTCCTCCCTGCAGCTGCCCCCCTCAGCTAGCGGGTGGGGTCTCTGGCCACAGACCCATGACTTTTCAGCGCAAGGTCTGGGTCATTAGTCATGGGATTCCTCCATAGTGGGTCAGGAGATTAGGCTTTCTCAGATCCTAAGACTGTTGTCTTAGGACTGGAGCTCAGAAGGGGACAGTGTCCCGGCCTGGTGGCCTAGTACTGGTTAGG